GCCTGAATTCCTACTTAGTCTCGAATGCTTTTTTAACGACAATCGCAAGATACGCTTTTCATGATGGCTTAAGTTGAGCGTTAGTCTATGCTTTGGGATATGATTCAATGCATTTTTAATTTCTCTTTACTCATTCCATTCACTGCATTCGTGCTTTTCGGCTCTCTCATTAGCTTGAACACGCCTTCGAAATGTATTTATTTATTTGGAGTCATTCCACATCATTTTTTTCACCAGCTGCTTCGAATTACTTTTTGCCTTAACACCAAACCGATCAAGGGACATGGTCTTGATTCTGCGTAGTTCTATTTGCTTACTGCTCTAAGCTGTTTGGAACAGGCATTATTTCACCATTTTTATGCCTAAACCAGATTTTTATCTCAAGGAATTAAACATTTTTATTCTTAGTCTTCACTTTATGAAGTTACTACCAGACTTGCCAGGAGGATAAAGGTGTTATCATCTAGTCTTGAACCATCATTATTTTGCCATATATAAAATTTTTTGTCAAGACAAGAGCCAATATTAGACAATAAAACTCTGATCCACAATCTCCCATTTATACTACATTGCGTCATGCAAGAGGGCAAAGACTATAAGCGCTTCAGATATATTTGCCCTTGGCAACTTTTACAATTATTATCAGTTTGGTCTATGTGGCTTCAAAATAATTTATAGTTAAGCTTCCCAGATGCATGCATATTTGTTTGTTGGAATATGTGATAAACACAATAAAAAGTACTTATCCCTCGGACTATTTCAGTCTAAGAACAGTGACGTGGTATAAACCCAAAGAATTCAATCATTTCAGAATTGGCAAGCCTACTTCTACGGTTTTGATGACAAGGGCTAACTTCTATCTATGCTAGTAGCAAACTTTTGTGTTGAGACTTTTCTTATGATGGCCATATTCCAATTATTTTACTGTATTATTAAAATAATGTCTAAAGATCATATATATGTTAAAATAAATTTATTAGTTATATATTAGTGGTAAATGAAGGAATCTAAATGTCCCTACTATTTACCACAAGTTCTTTATCCCTAGGACAGCGTAGAGTAATCCCATTGGGCATTATACTCATGCTAGAGCATGACCACATGTTGCACACCACCACTAATTAATTAGATATGACTATATACAGCTCAATACCTGCTTTCTATAATCACTTTGTGATTTTTTGACTTTGCTTCCAGCCTATTTCCTCGGCAGTGGACTCGCTCGCATCTGTGCGCGAATCAACTTTTCTTTATTCAGACGCTATTTCGGCTCCCTGTTCTGCTAACCTGGAGCCGGTGCTTACAGATCACCAACCAGTCACTTTTCTGCGACCCTCCGGCCATGATGACTTAACCTTAGCTCCCATGATGATAACCTCGACTCCTGGGCCCTCTATCGGTTCGGGTGACTCTGGGCAATCATTACTACGGGGGCAGAGTCGGCAGCAACAGCAATTACAATTGCCTCTTCGTTCTACTAGGCTTCAGCGACACTTGTCCGATCTCGCTCCAGGGTCGCGAAGGCGCCCCATCCCTCAACGCACACACGAGCAGCATCACATGTTAATTGCCAGGGAATCCAGTGAATCTAGTAGACACGGTATCTCGGGCTCGAAACGAGCTAGCGGCGTGGGTGGTGAGGCTTCTGGACGAATGACATTGTCGGCTTATGATGAGTGCCTATATCCTTCACAATCTCTTGGCGCTACTTCCAAATATGTCGGCTCTTCAGAAGTCTCGCAAGAGCCAGTCGTTCAGGCCGCTAGTTGTTTGCGCGAGCCTACCGCCAATCGAAGTCTCCGTTCCAGCAACTCAGGTGCTTGTTCTACTGAACCACTGGTTACTGCCGCTAATCTTTAACTGAATCTTGAGATTAAAAATAATCTGGGACGATCGGTCCATCATCTGGGCGCTTAGAACATTTTATTCTCTGGACTAGTTTAGAAAACAAATTACCAAAGGCCGTCAACAATTAATGATTAAATTCTGTACAGTTTTCTCTCCTTTAAATTTGCTTCCAACATCTTTCACTGGACGAAAACTTTGCCAAAACTTAACTGAGAAATGAAATAAGTCGAGTTAATGATCTCATTATGACAACTTTTAGAGGGGAATTTAGGCTGGCTCTTAGTAATCCTGATAATGATGGATAAGTAAGCTCTTCCCTTGAGCATTTGCCTGGCGGAATCTGCGTTTTTGATCGAAATTTGGTCTTATGCAACTCTCTCTTTTAAATAATTCATTCGCTGTTTTCTTTCAAGAATATTTACTTATGTGTATAAATGGCTTATATTATAAAATACTTGCCATATTTTAGACATTTATTTGGCTTTATATCACTTTCTTCCTCCCCTTTTCCTCCTCCCTGGTCGATCTTGGATGCCTCATGACGCTCAGTCAAGCATAGTCGTCCCGCTTGTCGGACCTCTTCTCGAATGACAAATTCAGCCCCAGTAGCTTTAGTTTCCACTACGGTAACTTCCTGTGCCCATAATGGGCTTGTTCGACCGTCGTCAACAACAGTCACGTCACCTGAAACTGGGCCGAACGTTTCGGTGATTTCTCACAGGTCGACGAGTAGCTCAAGCGTTGGACCTGCATCCGGTGCCACTTCGAGACAGCAACTCGCTGGGCTGAGTAGTCGAGGCGTTTTGTCTCGAGAACAAAAGAAGTCTGAGACGAGTTCCGCAATTACAACTACTGCTCCCAGCACTACAAACAATTCTAATATTGTTGGATCAAGTCGGCTACCTAGTCTGTCAAATTCGGTAAGACTCACTAATCCATGCAGCCCTAATTTCTAGCTCTATTTGGAAGTTTTCTTGTTTCTTTTATTTCCATTTCTCTTTCCTAATGAGCCTCTTTGGTACCAGATGGTCTATAACCTTTCTTATGGCGGTCTTAATAAGTGTACTCGCAGATGACTGCGTTTATATGTTCATAAATTCACTGAGTCAACTTTTATCTCATATGCTCAGCTACACGTTAATACATTCCCTTAAACTATATTTAACCTTGTAACTCTGTATCTGCCTAATATTATAATATATACATTCAAAATAAAAATCTCATGGATGAATTTTGGAGATTATATTGACCTAAAATTTTGTTCATTTAATAATCCCTTATATGCATATTTCTTTAACAAAGCAACTAATACCGAACCTGAAATACGTTCGGTGGCAGCTGTTTCATCACACACAATGGTTCAGGTTTATTGTTACTTTTAGGCTCACCTAGCCATCG